GACGGGGATGTGGGTCTGATGAAAGGGCTCGTTTTAATGTCGGCCAGCTGTATTCGATTATGATATTATCGAATATCATAATTTTACACTTCGTAAATATTCCCTTTATCCTGTCTCAGCTCTTCATCCAGCTATGTTCATCGTTGGCCGCTTTTCCAACGAAGAAAACGCTCGAGATGCGCTCTATTACTTTGTGTCTCTATACTTTGTGTTGCTTTTAATCAGTTGATGCTCTCGTGTAAATTAGGTGTGGATCGCGTGTCTATCTCCCAATACTCATTGCCAAAGAATAACGAGACTAAAAATGGCAAATTAATAAATGCTCCTATTCAGCATTTAGGTTAATGTAAAAAAAAAGTGGTAGGATTGAACTTCGTACGATATGATACTAAAAATTAAGCATATCGACTTCTTCGCGAAAATGCATATAATCAGCGTTAATTGATTACCGTGCCGCGTAATCTATTAGAACGTGACTGTTGAAAATAGATAGTGCAAAGGAAGATGGTTCCAGCCAGTATAATTAATGACCATGGCTTCTTTAAACTTTGTACGTATTAATCCATGAGAAACATAACTAAAATAAAATTTTTAGAAAATGCCTTCATATTATAAATATTTTTTAAAGATAAATTACTATTTAATGAATTTTTTTCAATATGGATACAAATTTTTGTGCATAATATATATATATATATAAAAAATATTTTCAAAAATGATTTTCGTTTGTGAAAAAGTTTATAAAAACTATAAATTTATGAATAAACTAATAAATTATTATATTGCGCATTATATATTAAACATGGTAGCAACTGATAAGGTATATACCCTTGCATTATAAACTTGCTTATTATATTATATTTGAATTATTATTTCATTGCATCTATTAATTTTATATAATACTTTAGAAAATGTAAAAACTATTCAAAATAATGTACGCAAATTAATTTAATGAGCTATAAAAATTTATTCAATGTTAAGCAAGTCTCGAATTCCAAAACTTAACAAACTATAAAAAGATGTAAATTCAGCATCTCATTTTCCATACTGGAGGTTTTATGAAGATCGCACGCGCAAGATAAAATAATATTAAATGCAAACTTATTACATATAACTCTACATAGCTGTTAATGGAGAAAATATTTGCATGTTATAAAATATCAGAGTAACGAAATAAAAATATATTACCAATTTCATTACGATTAATGTACTTTATTTCGCGCAGAAATTTCACTAATATCTTTATATAAAGATTTTTCAGACTTTTGTTAGTTTTAATTTATAATTAATTTATTTGTGTTGGGATGATAATAGTTCCTGCAATTTTATTTAAGAGAAAATTTAGCAGTATATTACGAAAAATGCTTGGAAAGGAATTTCGTGGCTGAAAGCTTTATGTATTTCGATTCTAAAGTTATAGCAATTGAATAAGTTTCTTTCTTTTAATATAACCAAAGAATGTTTAACTTCTACGTACAAAAAAAAATTGAATTCAAAGATTACGTCCTTATGACAATGATATTTTTATAAAAGCTCAAAAATTACCTCCTTTAGTTAAAATAATTTTCAACGTACAAAATTCTAGACTTATTTCATATTTCGTTAAAATTAAAACTAATATAATAATAAATATAAGAATAAATTGTCTTATTTAAGATACAATGTCCTATTTTTGAAGAAACATTTATACGAAATTAAAAATTAAATGGCTTATTTTCATTATATTCTCTTCAAATAAATATTATCGAATTGTAATATAAGAACACCGTATATTTAATGGTACAAATTTAATTATAAAAATAAAATATTGTTATTTGAAACTCTACCACAAAAACATAGGAAATGTACAATCTTATTATCTTATTTATATAAATAATCACAAAAATATTAATAAATTCCGTGAAAATTTTATACGATTGCTTATTTTGTACAACTTCGTGAACAAAACAAATAATATATAGCATAATATTAATTTATTTGTATATGTAGACTAAACTTAATTTATACATTTTATTATAGTCTCAAAATTTCAATTTTAATAGAATAAAATGGAATAACATTTAATGGAAATATATAAATACATTTTTTTTTTTTTTTTTTTTTAATAAACCGGTTATTATCTTTAATTTGTATATTTATAATACATATAAAAAGTTGATTTTCTTGATATTTTTTGTTCCTGATAGAAATTCATTCAGTGTAAATTTTAAAATAAAGAATTTTCATTTCAAAATTTGCCACGTAAATAGCATGTGATATATATATATATATATGTAGATTTATTTATTTATTTATACGTGTACGTATGTCATATTGCATATGTTAATTATCTGAATATCATTTATATGTACAGACAGATCTAAGTTAAATTTCTATGGCTTTCATTTATCGTGTAGAAAATATTCAACAAATGTACAACTTTATACATTCTACAAGCACCTCTTGCAAATACAGATCATCCATCTAAATTATGAACACGCCCTATGGCACTCAATTTCACAAGTCTCTTGAGATACGCATGTTTTCTTTCGAACAACTGTAATATACTAGAGGAGTTAAGAAAGTTTATGAAAAAAAAATTTACTCACTCCAGTAAGCTAAAAAAGAAATTAAGATACATTATGAAATGTCCACTGTATAATCGTATCATAAAATCTTATAGCTAAGGTTATTTTATTTATATATTATTTAAAATATATACTACTTGTAATTAATATGTAATATGTAGTTGAATTAAAAATATCATTAAGAGTATGCTTTTTATTTATTATTTTTTAGAATTTGCATAGAAATATAATTTATATGTACTTATATGCAACATGTAAGATGTAACGTTGGACGTTTAACTACTTAATGTATCATGTACACTTTAAGGTTGCAAAGTGAGATTATCAATTTAACTTAATATTTTAAGAATCCTACTGTTTATGAGAAAATAGTAATTTTGTAAGCACTTTAAAAGTCATTAATGTTTTTAAATAGTATCGCAGTAAATAAAAAGAAGAAGTTGTTTCATTAATGCACGTTCAAAAACGTTTAAATTTCATTTACAATATTTATCACGATATTGTGTGAATGTCAAAAATCTTGTTGGATTATAAACAGACTGAAATTAATCATAGATTTCAAAGAGAGAAGAAACCTCTTAGCCACTAATTCGATTGATTGTAATATGACTCCGTTTATCGAATAAGTGCACTAGCGTAGTATTTTAATTGATTCGATTATTTCTTCTCTCGGGCTTCTCTCCCCCCCCCCTTTATTTTTCAATTTTATTAATATTGTATTAAGTTTGGTTAAGGATTTCACCTTGACAAATTTGAATGTAATTTCTAGATTTTTGTGGTACTTCAGATTATACGTAGCTAAAGACGATGGCTCAAGTAAATGAAAAATTTGAAAGCTAAATACTGACTCGCCCAGGCGCTCATCTTATTTTTTGGTACCCATCGTAAAAGCAAACTAAACCATCGATCATTTGTATAGTTCATAGTGAAAGCAGCTCCCACCCTGACATCGTAACGCCTATTTTTATATCCCGTAGAGTAAAATTAGGTTTGTCTCTTCAATGGAGTACGAGGACGCGTATAGAGCAGTCACTCAACTACTTTTTCTCATATAATGTAAGCCTAGGGAGCAATTCCGTTAAAATAAAACAACTTGGTCTATGGCGTTACGAGAGTATAGAGTGAGTGAGAAAAAGTTACGATACAGCAACTAGTTATCGTATAATATTGGCAACAGTTGGTCGCGATGAAATCGATTATATTCTCTAATCGTGTTAATTTCTGTACGCTTTACCTTTAAAACATCTACATTAAGGTACACAATCAAATAGATAATTCATATTCATTGTAAAACTTATACACAATCGGAACACAGGTAGGTATTATTTACGAAACACACAAATATTTTCAATAATTGATAAATTTTTTAGTAAGAATTGCTCGTAAAATTATTTTCTTTTATTAAAGCGAAATATAGTGGAAAGTGTAAATCATTGTCAGAAAGTGATTTATCTTAATTAAGTAGACTATAGTTCAGGAAATTACGGTTATATGTGTTCATGGTGTACGGACTCGTAGAATCGCTGCGATCGTTAACTCGTAGAGTAAAATTTTGGCAGCACGTCAACGACATTATTCGCTGTTTTTAGGTATCGATGTCCCTTTCATAGATTTCTTCCCATGTTAAAGGATATTTACAGCATTTGTTAAATAACCATATGTATTTTTATGTAAAAATATTATAGTATTTATTATATGTACTTTATGAAATATTCATGTTATGATAAATGTTTTCCTAAGTATACCATAATCAAGTACATATTCAATGTATGCCAATACATTGAAATATATCAAATAAATTTTTTCTAGAAAATCTAAGATATGTATGTGCAACTATGTGTGTGCGTGATCGTCCGCCCATATGTGTATTACACTTATTACAATTATTTGTACAATATTAATGAATCTAGAATTTATTTACAATTAAATATTATTTAGATAAAATACTGTATTCTCAGCTCAATAAATAATTTTTTACTCAAAATCTGTAATTAAAACAATTTTTTTAGTGATATATCAATATTATTGAATTGTAAGTAACTGTGTGGTTATTTATTAGGATAGTGCTTGGCATTTTATTAAAATTACATTATGTAAGACTTGATAAGACAAATAAGGAAAAAGCTCTTTTTATCCATTTTTTTTAATTAAACATTACTTAAAATTGTATTGATATCGCGATTTGTGATGTACATATATCTATATACATATGGGTGTGTGTATATTAGAAATAAATCGGATCGTAAAGGATGGAAAATTCTCGACTTTTCATTTCAAAACGATACTTTATTCTGTAACTTTAATAGATACTTAGCACGATTCTAATAACATTGAGTGCTTTCTAATTTCTAATATCTAATTTCTAACGCGCCAGGAGCCCATCTGAATGTAATACAAGGCAAACATTATTTGAGTAGTTATAAGCCAACTTACCTCTGGTAGAGAGTTTTTTAGTATTGATAATTTTCGCTGCAAACTCGTTATTCGTGCTCTTTTGCACACATCGCCGTACTACGGAGAAAGCACCTCTGTAAAAGAAACAATTAATATTATTAGCTTCGAGAAAACTGCGTTTACATTTATGTCTTTACGTCTTCATATTAGTTTAAATGCTTTCTTTAATCAATACGTTAGTAGCATAAATGAAACTATACTTGTTTTATAAATGCTACAAATTTTAATACAATTTAATTGAAAAATTCTTATACTGTGTCCAGTAAACGTATTATTTTTAAATGAGAATGAAAGTAACATCTTTATCTTCTATCTAAACAAGCATTATTGATGAGTATGGTAAGGTAGTAGCAAAAAAAATAAAAAATAAAAAAGTTTTCAACTCGTTTCTCTTATTAAATATATCTGATAGTCGAATTCTCAAAAGAAAAATTATAAAAGAGTTAATGCAAATTTTAAAAAGTAGGTTACAAATAAACTTGAGCTGAGGAATAGCATAAAGCAGTTGAAACCACTAAAATAAATAATTGACGTAAACTTATGAAGTTTGCTACTTAAAATAACAGACTATACGCGTATGTAAATTATTAGTACTTTGCCCAATGTTAAAGCATAACAATTTCTACATAAGATTGAGATAAACGTGATAGAAAGTTTGCATAGTTAAAAAGATGCTACATTATCTATTGGTATATAAAAAAAAAAAACTTTTTGCGATCTCAAATCGTATTCATTCTCCGAGGTTAATAATCTCATCTCTCTTTCGCTAATTCCCAAGTGAAAATTACAAACTTCTTACTCTATATATAGAACGTCGATTGCGCATCAATGCTTTTTATTCTACCTATCAAGAATTAATTTCAACGCCGAACTGGCGAATACGATTGCCTCGAACAACATTCACGTAATGTTTTCTTGTTCGATTCTACCATGTTGTTATTGTTTTGATTTTTTCATTTTTCACCCAAGGAGTTCATTAAAATTAGCTCGCTAAAGATATGCAGCAAGTAGCTTTGGCCTTCACGCACGACCAAAACTTTTAATGAAACAAAGGGCATTAACATAATACATTATGGTATTTGAATTCCACAGTGTTTTTGTCCTTCATTGATATTATTATTAGCACAACAGTTAATGTAGAACAAAACTCGAGTCGAAATATTTGAAGTGTAGTTAGTATGTCGATTTGTACACATGTGAAATAGTATAACCTTCCGTTATTGGAAAGCTTATATTGTTAAAAATTCTGCATAAAATGTCAGGAAATCTATAGTCATTACCATTATTCTTTCCAAACGAAATGCAAGCTATTTAATTGTATAGCAATAAAAGAAAGAGAATCAGGTTGTTTTTAGAGGATCCGATATAACGTCGCTCATTTAATTAAAAGATCGAAAGCGAGTTCAAACCCCGTAAAAGCTAAAAAGACTCTTAAGTGTCACAAAAGTTAACTCGTTACGTATAATAAAACAAAACTTGAACAAACTGTCCTCGGTTACTGTAAATAAGTGCTTGTTAGAGTGTCAGACGCAACTCATAAGTCAAACATTGTTTTTGTTCCGATACGTATTAGCGCATCGGATGTCAACTACAGGTGCTCGGCAAAAAAGAGGAGCCGGTTAATTGGTCGGATAAATATCGCTAACAATCTTCAGGGAAATATAAAATGACTTGGCGCAAATTGAGCGATACCGCGTGTTGTCGGGGACTTTGGATAAGAAGCCGATGGGTGTGTCGTGGGATCGTGTAAAAAGAAACAACAACAGCAGATTCTGGCGCTTCGACCTCATCGGCTGCCAGTGAACAACATTAATGCTTGGCCTCCTCATATCCTTCTTCCCTTTGACTACATTCGATCCTGTCACCGAAATTGCCGTTCAACTTTTTAAAGAGAGAAATCTTTAATAAATGCCAGGGTTCAGGAGCGTCGGCCGGAAAAATTCGGCCAAGTGCTCCGGCAGCCGATCGAACTTGGCTCGCAAGGCAACGTTACCCCTATACTCGCTACCTTTCTTTCATCATCCCTCGTGTTAACGCTTGAAAAATTCTTTGCCCTTGTTCCTGTAGTTTTTTTTTTAAGTTTTTTAAAGCCTGTACCCATCGGCGAATTATTATAGGGCGAAAATTGCCGATTCTACTGCCTGATTTTACATTTTTTCATTCCTGTACCTCTACATTGAAATTAAAAAGTTTGATTATAAAGCTATTCGTTTTTTATTTTTACCTACTCGAGAAATGAGCTGTTTGTTGCAAATTAAATAAGAAAAATACATTACTACTATTTAGGCTTTTAAAAAATATAGTTAAATAATTATAAACAATAGCTGACCTTGTGAAAATTTTCGTCAAACTTGTATAAATTTCTAAATTAAAACTATTTATTAATGAAAATTTGAAAAATAAATATGAGAATTATTGTGTATCAAAAAGATTAAAAATTTAATTAATTATCAGCGTCACTTTTATAATTTAAATATGTACTAAGATCAAGTAAAGATTTTAAATTATTAAATAGCTGATATTATTTTTTATTCTTGATATGATTCAGTATTTTACTGGAGAAAAGGAAATTAAGTTAAAAGCTAAACAAAAAAGTTATAAACTCGCATATGTTAGCAGTTCACGTGAAGCTTATAAAACATTGGTTCAAGAATGAGTGTTCAAGCTGGCTAATCTAAAAGATTACATCAATAATTTCCTAAGCTATGATAATTGTACTATTTTATCTCAGCATAGTAATTGCGTACAATTGAATAATCTAAAATTGAAATATTTATTCATTCGACTCTCATTCGTCTTATTTTTATGACAATGTATAGAAAGTATTTTCAATCTTCTAGACTATAGCATCATCTGTATGATAATAGTGTGGCTAAAAAATATATAAGTTTGGAATCTTACAACAAAATCCTTGGAAGATTGTTAATTAAGTTTTTTACATAAATATTAGTAGATATTTCTGTTTATAATTACTGTATTTTAATAATTTTTTTAAAATTATTTTCATTTTCTAGCATTATCGATATCCTTATTTTCTTATTTTTCAAGGTATCCTTTCATAAATAAAAATGTAAAAAATACTTTATAATCATATAATAAAAAAAGCTAATTAAAAAAATTATTTAAAAACATCAAGTTTATATTGAAAATGCAATTAAAATTATATTAAAAGCATTATAAAAAAAAAGCCTTAGAGAAATGTTGTATCCGTGTGAAATTGAAAATATTACTTTTCACGATTTAATAAGGTTTTCGATGAGGTTTCAAATGCAAGTACTATACCAAACGTACAGGGATTTTGTATCGACTAAAAAGTAAACATATAAAATTATTACGCAACGCGTGGCAATACAATGAATAATAAAAGAAGCCGTTAAAAATATCATGATTGGTAATTTTCTTTCAATAGCAACGAAGATAATATATATATATATATGACTCGTCGGGGATGTTTTTATTCATGCGCCTTCACAACGGGTGGAGTAATTTAAAAACTTTGTGGTATAAAAAAAGGAAAAGATAGCTCGCTTAAGGCCATTACTTTCTTAAAAAGAAATGGGTTGTAGGGTTACTTTAACCGCGGTATAGCAACAAGCGACTCTCTCCCCTTCAATTTCGCCACTTTATACAACTGCTGTTTTTTCACGATAATAATCTCTAATCGGAGTTTCTCGCCCGCTCGCGGCTGGATCTGCCGACATGTCGTCCTATCGCAATTCTATAGAAAGCGTTTGGCAAGCAAAGAAAAGAACGAGATCAGACGGGCAAAACAGAGAGGGAGTGGACTACAAGAGTATAATGCATTTCCATGTATTCGTTACTTCCTTATTTATTACATAACGAAATAAAATGTTATTTTCCGATAAGTATAACAAATTCTAAAGTGTCAGTATCTTTTTCATACCGAACGCCTATAGCTTCTCAATATTTCTCTCTGGAGCAACATTGATTTTCTCTTATAGTGTCCAATCTTTGATTTTATTTGCTTAAGTAAAATAAACTATTGCTTGAATTTAGCATTTATTATTTATAATACATCGCTGGAAGATAGTTGACCCGCATGATCAAAATCACACCATTCATAAAATAGAATTCCATTCTGTTTCATATTAGCCCAGGATCTCAACGTTACCAGACAAGACATTATCTATTCAACGCTATTCTATATATTTAGAACTGTCAGCAGAAATTGGATTAGTCAAAATATATAAGCGAGGGCCCAAATTTAAAATAGGTTCATGTATATTTGAAAGTACATCGAAAGCGAAAGGCTTACTTTGGATGCAAACGAAAGTAAGAGTCTTGGTCACAGTTGGTCGTAAGCCTCCTACAGTCGCTCACCATAAAAATCTCGATTTACCGAAACGTCGCTCTCAAAGCGGACGAATTACCTCTTAGAAATTCACGAGTACCGCTTTCCCAGAGTCATGAGTTAAGCTTGGCTGGCCGGACATAAATAGCCTCGCGATCCACTTGCTTCCCTTTCTTTCGACGTGCTGGGTAAGATATAGACATCCCTCTGACACCTGAATATTATTCAACCGATATTCCTTGTCCTTATTCACTTTATCCTCTCATGCACACGAAGCTTTCATGTTCAAGCTTTTCTTCTTTCCTTATCGTACTTGCTTCCATATAGATTTTATTGGGAGTATGTGATTTCGTGATGGTATTTTTATTGTTAATTCACGGCATCTGAGGAATCTGCGTTATCTGCGAAAATGTTCAAGATGTTGCTCGCCAGGTTTGAGATACGAATCAAGAAAAGAAAGATATTCGTGTTCGCTTACTGCTTTTAATATTTTAAATGTATAATGCTTGCAGTATTGTCGATTTTTAACAACGTAATGCGAACTATTTTCTTATTAAGAAATTTTGTTTCCCTCGCTATTTTACCATCTCTTACAATTGATTGCTAGAATTAAATTAAATAAAATAATAATCATTGTCTTATGTTGGCTATACGTTAATTCCAATTTATTTACGAGAAGTTGATATTAATTCATGCACTAATCATTGTGACATCTGCTGGTTAAAATAATCAATATCAATTCACAAACTGATTGGATTAACC